GTGGATGGCCTGGGACTAACCCTCTAATTGTAGAGCTACACTGCACCTCTCTCCTGAAAAACTGTCAAAGTCCTTTTAGGTTCTTCTATTCTCCATGAAGTACATGTTTCACTTTTTGAGCACCAAAACTGTCATTTCCACAGAAAAGCAATCATAGTTGCATATAACAGAGCTTAAAAAAAAAAAAACAATTATGTTTTTATAGGTCATTCCTTCCATTTAAAAAAGATTCCCTTGCATTTCACATCTAAAGTAGCTTTGCTTATTCTGAATCTTTGAGAATGAGTTGTTACTTGCAAACTAACTGTTCAAAGGACACTTCTGTGTGCACCTTTCTTAAAACTGTAACTACTCCTGAAAGCAATCTAAAATGTATTCTACACACCCCAATTTTCACATATAGGGCACATGAGACACAAGCTGCCTCTAAGAATTCAAGTTTCCAGTTTCAGTTCTGGCTTGGCCACTAGCTAGCCCGTGACCTTGGGCAAGTAACTTAACTGCATTGGGCCTTAATTTCCTCTCCCACAAAATGAAGGGGATTGGATCAGATGATGACTCTTGCTTTACGGCTCTCAAATATGATATCGAGACCATTGGGAACATCGACTATTGTCTATGCTGACCTAAAGTACTGTTCCTAGGGACTGTCAAGTTATAAGAATGTTGCCTGGACATTACAAATGGCCCCAGAGAGTGGGGGTACAGTAATTGAAAGCAGACTAAAGTCAATTACTTTTATTCTTTTTATCCCCTCCTATTCCATCAGCTGTCAATTCTCACTGCTATCAACCTCCCACTGACATAAACCCCTGCCTTAGTTTTCAAAGCTAAGCAGTGGCCTGCTTCACTCAGGTTCTCTCATAAAGCAAAGTGCATGGACTTTGTGATACAATCTGGCAACCAGTGGGCTTTATCGTTCTCTTTCAAAGTTATATTGTAGGCTGTTGTGGCCACTATGGCCCCAAGACTGACCCCCCCAGTTACGGCTGGGAGAATGAGAAGGCATTCCTGTAACCTGCACTCTGAACGCTAAAAGCACACTGCCTTGGGGGAAGAGTGTTTGAAGCAAAAGTGAGGACAGAAAACTAACCGATTTCCTTCTTACTAAAGCAAAAGCTATAAGCCTTGCCTTATCTTTCTATTAACCCCCACCTACTTCCTTCAAGTTTCCTGTCCCCATCTCAATTGTTGCTTTTTTGTACCTTATGCCATACAACTTTTCCTTGTGAAAGATACATTTTCCAAGTCACTCTCTGAAGCCAGAGAGAGGATCAGAGTAGGAGGAAAGAGATACCATTAGTGGTTTCCTATATTTACGACTTTCCCAGTTATCATACCTTCTTAGTTCCATGAAAAATGATTAGTAGAAAAAAAATGCTTCTTAGCAATTGTAAATATAGTCCCTGAAACACTATTTTTAAGCTAACAAGCATTTTAATATGCATTAAACCACAGGCTTAGTGCCTCAAAGAATTCAGGGAAGTTCTCTTTAAAAACTAAAATGAAACAGGTAACCTGTTAAGAACTGAAATCTACCTTCTTTGCCTGGCACTATCTGGGGTAGTTTCATGGGATTTTATGAGGAACTTGATTCAATAAGCAGAGGCAACTGGTTTTCACTCATCCTAATTTAAGATGTTAGTAGAAAGTGGGTGGTTAAAAAGGAATGGAAATTGGTTAGCCTGGAAAGTGGGTGTAAACTGGACATACAAATGGAATATATATAAATCCCGCTAAATTAGAAAAACAGCCAGAGAGTTAACTGAGTATTTGAAGCTTTGCCAAATGGGTCTAAGTCCTTTGAAAGGAGTTCAAGGTGTGGATGGTTAATCTATGGGGATGGCAATAAAGGCTGAAGAGTGAAAAGAAAACGGCTGCATTTTATCTCCGAGAAATGAGCATAAAAGCAACTTTTCCCCAGTCTTTCATTCTCCAGATGCTGTTAGTCATGTCTAAGCTGAGTATTATTTTGTTTTCAAGTTAGCTTTACACAGCACAACTTAATCTCAGAATCTACTCTTCCAAGTATTACACAAGGTGATGATTTATAGAAAAACAAAAAAATCCTTTCCTGCTTGCAAGCTTGGGTTCCTTAGCTTGCAGTGCGACATTTAAGTAAGGGTGCTTTGTTTCAGAGCATGATTAGAGTGGCACCCTTGGTACTGATTATGGCACTGAGCTCTTTGTACTGCCCAAGTCTGGGCACTACATCATATTAAAACTTCCATTACGGGGTATGTAGCGACTAAAAATTATCTCCTAGCTTAAACTTAGCATCAATCATATACCTCAGGAGAAGCAAGATAATATATTGAGTCCTAAACCACAGGAGCCCAGCATTTTTCTTCTTTTATACTTGCACAGGAAAAGAGACCCAGCCATAGCACCTCCACACTTACATGGAAATTTCAAGCATTGTGGGCTCTTTCCAGAAGTATAATCAGTGGGTTGCTATGACTGCATCACATTAAATCAGATGTATCAGGCCATTGTCTCTTGCATTAATAGAGCCCAAGTTTTCTAGAAGTAGAATGAAATCATTTCAGCTTCTTTTTAGAAGAGGCAGAAAATGAAGACGCCCTTTCTGTTCCAGTAAATAGCACTTCTGACTGGTTTCTCCAGAGCTCTTCCATTTCCAACAGCAGTTCACCATCTAAAATTGAGTGTTCAGTTATCTAAAAGCCACTAAGCATAGATGCACTCAAAAGTTGGCAGGTCCATGAGTCATGGGTGGAGTGGAACTCAGCAAAAAAGTGAGAATGAGTTGCCTAAATTTGTCACAAGCAAGGCACAAGCTCATGCTTGGGCAGTTCAACACCACCATCTCTATACAGGCCTGTGGTACTGACATGTCCCTATTTTACCGAGTGCTAGGATAGCCATGTTTTATAGATTTAAAAACCCCAATTAATGAGGTGGAAATAATTAATTACATTTCACTTGAGAAAACTTTTAATCATTTTGCTCATATGTGTAAACAAAGGAGCAGTTGTACACAAGGTCTTACACTATTTCTCTGAGTTATAAAAAATATTACTTCTGCAATCATTTTATTGGGTGTCTATCTGTCAGGCACTGTGCTAAGTGTTTTACATGCATTATCATATTTATACCTTAAAAAAACAAAATCCTTCAAGTTAGTATTGTTACCATCCGTATTTAACAGAAGATAAAATTGTTTTGAGACTAAGTTTCTTGCCTAAGATCAAACAACTCGTAAATGAGAGGCAATCAGCTAGTAAGATAGTACTCATATATATGTATTTCTCATTTAAAAAAAATAAAGAATTTGCTCCTGGTTAAGTTTTCAGATGTTCTTGAGACAGAACATGGAAGAGGAACCAGGTTGGTCTGCAATTCTGGTCACCTGAACACAAGTTCTCAACCACAGCTTGGACACAAAGTGTTAAAATGGTCTCTTTGCTCAGCCAATCACTCAGCTATCTCTATGTTGTCATTCCTGCTTAGGGAATAAATATCAATAAATTTCAAGAATTAAATAGGAGTCTAATATAGTTTTGGTAAGAAAAAAGCAAATCAAACTTTGTACTCAGGGCTCATGACTTTGGAACTATACATGTTCTCATGGCAAGGAGGGCAGTTTTGAAATAACTTGGACGGTGGTGAGGGTAACTTTTTATACTTTAAATGCTTAAATACAATGAACTACATATAAGTTTGGCTATGAGAGTTTTGCAGACCTGGCCCAACAAGCAGGCTAAGGGGGAGGGGGGGGAGGCAATCTGGTGGTCTCAGAAATTCTCAGAAATTCAAAACTACGCTCCCTGATAAATCTGAATCCAATCCAAGAAGTATGTCAATAGCTGGTTGTTTAAGATTAGGTTTGCTACAGATGTAGTCACAGAACTGTGGAGTGGGCAAATATGCTTAAAATATGTCCAAGCAGGTTTAGGTTAAATCAGTAATAGAATTTTAACGCTAATAAAAGCAACGGGTATTCCTGTGAGCGAGAATCCAGCAGACGGGGATCTATATGTGTGAGCAGGTACTTGTACTGTTTCCCCTCTGCTGGCAGGCCCTAGTCACTGAAAAAAAAAGAAAGAAAAAAAAAATCACCTTCTTTGACTGAGGCTGTATCACACATGCCCAGCAAGTATCTCTGGGGCTGGTAAAGCAGTTAAGATTGAACAAGGGGAGAAACTGGGAAGAGTAAGGAAATAAAATTTTTCATTATTCCAAAACCCAACCTCATTTCCCAAAGTCCGGCTTATGTGCTGACTCTCTTAAGNTTCCAAAACCCAACCTCATTTCCCAAAGTCCGGCTTATGTGCTGACCCCCCGCAAAATCCTGATCTTCCAAAAAATAAACCCATTTGGAGCTGAGACAAGGCGAGGTCAACGATTGGTATGATCAACCAACCATTTGTCTGATTTCGTTTCTAGCCTCGTGGGGGCCAAGCCTGACCACGAGGGTGAAGACAGGCGGCCTGGAGGAGGGAATGAAGAAGAGAAAAGCAGGGTGGGGGCGGGGGTGCACGGACCTCCGGGCCACACTTCTTTCTAGTACCAACAAAAAGAGAAGCCGCATACTGACCTAAATCATCTCTCAAAGGCGCTTTATAAATTACAGGGACAAAGGGAGGGGGTGGCCTGGGAAGCCGACGGACACCAGCCCTCTGACCCGCCCCCTCCCCCTCCAGCACAAGGGAAGGAAGACCGAGCGCGGAGCTCAACTCGGCCATTGGAGAAGCCCCCTCCGCCTTTCCATCGCCAGCCGCAGGCCCCCTAGGAGGAAAATACGCGTAAACACCGCACCAGCACCCCGGGGAGGGCACTCGCGCCCGGAGGTCCCTAGGACCGGAGGCCGGGGCATTTACTTACTTAGATTTTTCTTGCTTACTCATTTCCCTGAAGCACCCAACCCCCCGTTCCCACTCCAAAACCCCGCTCAACCGCCTACCCTCCCGGCTCCAGCCCCCGGCAGAACCCGGCGCCCCCGGGGCGGCCGCAGCCCCCGCGCGGTCCCGGTCACTAACCTGCTGCTGTAAGGGCATTTCCGAATCCAGCCAGGCTCCGGGAGAGGTGGGGGGCCGGCTGGAGAGGGGCCCGGAGGGCCGAGCAGACCGGCGGCGCCGGGCGAGGGCGGGCGCCCGTGGGGGGGG